TCTTATTGCTCTCTCCCTTCTGCTGTCATTCAATTTTTCTCTCTCCCTCCTTCTCGCCCCCTCTCACTCCCCCCTTTCCCTCTCACTCTGTGTCTCATTCTCCATCTCGGATGAAGGTAATGAAAATAATCGGGCTTCATTAATTCTGAGCCCTGTGAGATGATAGCCATTTGGAGCCATGTTTGCCAATTAGATGGTCTAAATTAGAAGTGACCTTGGTATACTGCCATCGCTTTGCCTCTCTGAGTCTAATGAAGCTTTTCACTCCAGCACCCTCTCTCTCTCTTTGTAATGGAAATTACCTCCTTTGTCTGGTCTGGGAACCTTGCATTGCATGTGTATTTCCCCCTGGTTGCATGGACATAGGGATAGTAATGTATCTCCTCAGACTCCTTCTAGAGATTTTCTTTTCAAAGCCGCCTGATTTCAGCATTTTGGGGCATTTACAGAGGAACTGCATAGCCTGTCCACACGTTCGGTCACTGGGTCCGGGGGAAAGTCAGAGCAGGCAGATCCAGTGCACAAGGGGACCTGGCTTTTCACGCTATCCGAGATTAATTTTTCAGACGTGCCAAGAATGTGCTTGTGTCACGCTGCGGGGCCAGCGCTGGAGGGGTGTTGCAGCTCTGAGCCTCCGGCCTGTGCTGATAAGCGGCTCTGCAGTTCATCGTCTTAAAAATCTGGTAGATGCGGTACAGCAGGAGCCACGGTTGTCACTGCTGTAGGTTGTCACCGGTGAGGAGTGGACCCGCAGGTTGTTTTCCAGACTGGTGACAGGTCTGTAGGTGTCAGGGGATGTGTGACCTGCTGAGGGGACTCGTGGGGCAGGGAGGCAGGAGAAGTGGCATGTCAGCCCTTGGGTTTTTCGTAACAGTCACTCACTGGACATTGTCTATAGATCAAATCGGGGTGCCCATGCCTGTCAGTGGATCTCGTCATCATAAATTTTATCTGCTGAAGGGGATCTGAACTTCATCTGAAAGGGAGGGTCCTTGGAAGCACAGAGGCTCGTCCCAACAGCTTTCCATCTTCTAAGGCAGATGTTGGCTTCTCCGCAGTCTGCTCTAGAAGGAAGTTCTCTGGCCGGCATTCCCATCTCCTGGTGTTTCAAAGCGGGGCACAGGAGGGGCTGCCACCATCTCTGGCTCAAACTTCCCCCTCCTTTGCTCTTCACCCAAACAAGTTCCCTGTCCCACTGAGCGGGATGGGGACGGGGCAGTTGGAGCAGAGGGTGCACCCTGAGAGCCTGCCCCAGCGTCTCTCCGTTGGAGACACTGACTCGTCAGTGAAGTACTGACAGACAGAACCTGACCCACGTTCTGGTACCCGAATGCCAGGCTGTTGGACAGAGCAGGTAGGAGTGAGCTGCCGATCCCTCCCCACCTCCCTCTTTCTTTGGACAGAAGGGTCAAGAGTGACGTGGGTCAAGGGGAGCGTTTGCCTTCTGTGCGATAACGTCAGGAGAGCAACCTAGAGCAGACCTCAGACGTAGGGGCAGGGGGGAGCTGTGCACAGAGGAGGATCTGGGGTGACAGAGTGCTGCTTCCAAGCTTTGCTGGTGGCTTGTGGGCCAGGAGATTGCGGCTGCAGCTGCGAAGGGGATACAGTTGAGTGTTAGAGCAAAACAAGTATGTACAGAAGAAGGAAAGGGAGAGGGCAAATCACATTTGTCGGACTTACATCTGTAGGGTTGGTTTTTTAATAACAGTTCACATTGACTGACATGTCGCCGTTGTGAGACAGTTGATGTTGAAGAGACATTGAAAGAGGGAGACAGAGGTATTGGGCAGAGCTGAGGATGGGTGCCAGGATTACATGCCAGGAATTGCCTGCTCAGGTGAGAGGGAGGTAGAGGGCATTTAACGACCACACGTGCTAACACAGGCTGTGCTCGAGATAAACATGTTCCTCTCTATCACCAGAACGGTTAATGCCATTTAAATACCTCTGAAGTACAAAACGCTGTGCTGTAGAGCACCGCTCCTGGCTTATCTGTCGGGTGGCCATGGCCTACTAAACCTTCCTGCCCCCTTGGTACTCCCACTATTTGTTTACATTAAAAGCAGCCACAACACGCACATCCAAGGAAATGGTATATCCCTGGGCAGGTTTGCAGTGTGAAAGGACAAATAGTTCAAGATGGACAGTCTGGCATTCAGTGTAAATGCAAAATGGTGCGAGATCTGCAGCCTGTTTTCACTACTTTTATCTTTGGTGCCTGCGTGGGGGTGGTCTGTGGGGCTGAAGAGACAGAGTAGTCCTGCTCTGGAAGATGGTGTAGGAAACAGGCGGCACTTCCAGGAGAAGCCCGAAAGAGGTAGAGGACTGAAGCGAGTCCGGTTGCTGAAGCAAGGCCAGTGCCGTATTGTCAAGGTTGTGCTTCCCAGGACCAGCCGTCTGGACTGCCTGCAGTTGCCCTGCATCCGTATCCAGGATTTCTCGTTTCCTGCAGTTTTCTCCAAGCTTTTTTCTGTTTGTCTTTTGGGATTTTGTGCCTGTAGCAGTTTAATGTACCGCAGCCTTTTTTTTTCTTCCCCCCCCTTTTTTTTTCTTTTTGTTTTTTCATTGTGGAGGGAGGGGTAGAAGTAGGGTGAGAACTGTGGCTATGGAGATGCAGGTAGATAAAGGTAATTACTTAAACACATATAGGGCAGGACTTATTGGTTTGGAGACCCAGATTAAGATGCAGAGGAGCATGTGAGGTTGATGATTATATTTCGGGGAGAGTTAATTGACGGAAGGTGAAGGCAGACAAAGAACCGCTGCTTACTGCCTTCTTGAATCCCAATCAGGAATTATGATTAAAGACGCGGCGAGACAACAGAGGCCTGATGAATTGGTGTCTTTTTTTTTTCTTTTTTGCCGTCATTCACACTTGATTGACTTCAACCTTTCAAGTGCAAAAGTCTCTCTTTTCCATTATTATTCATAGCCATCTGAGTTTTTCTAATTAAAGTGTATGAAAACAATTACTGATCCGTCGTACTGAGTGTGGTAGTGGGGATGGCTGCCTTACTGTAATGCGTATAAAAAGCCCACAGTTTTCTATAATGATGTGCAGCTGAGGTGTTAGATAATTTTATTCTTTTTCTACTCTGTTGGGGTTTTTTTTAATTTCTCATGATTTATTTTTCATAATTCCTAAAGATCCTAGGAAAGCGCTCTCCCTGCTGATAAAGCTGAGAGGGACTGCTCCTTCTTGCCTTCCCTCCTCGGCATCCCTGCTTGTCCCCCTCCTCCGAGCCTGGCTACTGGGAATTAACCAGTGACCTTTCACGTCTCCCGACCCACCACCCACGGCCGGCAGATGCTCCTGCTTAGAGTAAAAGGTGGAATGAATTTGGTGTGCTCAGCTTCCCTCCTGTGATTTATCAGTGTCAGCTGCCTTTCCTGCAAACGTCTGTAGGACCCGGCACTCACCTCCGTGCACTGGCCATCCCAGTAAAAGGATGGAGCTCAGCATCCCTCCCTGGTGCGGTTCAGATGTCTGCAGCCACTCCTTTGCAAACATTTGTTTCTGAGGTTTTTTCATGGACTGTTTTTGCTTCCATTCACTTAGTGAAGCCAATGTCTAGTCTGTGTTTGCTTGGATTTCACATGCGTGTAGATAAGGAAGATTTCATGTCCTGCACATAGGTTTACCTTCTGCTTCACCACGGATTTGCTAATATCTCATGCGGTTCAATCAGAGCCTTGCGGTGCCTGACTTTGCAGAAAGCAAGGTACACTGCATGCAGATAACAGCCTCACTCTCTTCTGAAATCCAAGGTTCAAATGCCTTCCTAGTATCTGACAGAAGGATGGAGAGACTTGCTTTGCTAGGAAACATACCTGTCTAGGAGCATTAATTTATGCCTCACTTTCCCAGCAGTCAGAGGCTGGGAGCACAAGCACCGCGAGCATTGCAAACCAGCGTTGGTTTCTGTTCCTTCAAGTACCACGGCCCTGGTGAAAGGGAAACGCTCCCTGAACGTCAGCGGGGCGAAGCATGCAGCTGCTCGGAGCTGTAGAGGTGTCTTCGTTCACCACAGGCATCTCACCAGTGCTGGCAGCAGTGCACTGGAGAACGGCACGGGTGGTGACGGTGATACGGGTCTGTCTTTCCAGTTGCTGCTCTGGGGAGAAGGGCTGTGGGGCAGCTTTTCAGGTAGTGTGAGATACTGGCTCTGGGCATTCAGAAGGGTATTCATTGTCCTGCATCTGATGCCAGCCATGTGCAAACCGCTAGTGAGGTAGTTTGCGTGTTCTGTGTGTGACCGGATACACCCAAAGAAACACAGTTTTCCAGAAAAAGATGGGCGTATGCGTGTGACTCTTTCAAAGAGCGTCTCTAGTTGAAGCACGCAAACTCTCCAGCACTGGTTATGATGGTGCAGGTTCTAGACAAACACTTGAAGAGAGGCAAATGGAACACATCAGTCAGAGCAAGGAAAGGGTTACCAAAAGCTTTTCATTTCCCAGACAATTTGCTGTCTTTTTAGTCTTTCCTTATTCATTCTTTGTCACCTCTCTCCTTATTTGTACTTTTCTTTCTCATGCCCCTCCTTTTCCTGCATCGATACACTTTGAAAACAGTGCTGCAATGCTCCCTAGTTCAAGATTACAGTGTACTTTACGAGGTATGATTTAATTAGGGGCCTTATTATGTTTTCAGCAGCTTAAGGTGGGCCTTTCAACTTATCTACCTAATTGGTTGCACAAGAAGTTTCACAGCCCATGACAAAACATTGTCAGTGATCAAAGTCTGAATTCTACATAAAGGAAAAAATATTAATAATAAGATTATTCTTCAAGTGTGCACTGCTAATTATGTCCAGAATGTAACTGTAGAAACACTTTTGACTGATGTGAGCTTTGTCTAATAAACATGAGTCTTCAGTGAGCTATGAAAAGTGACGCCTCTGACTTTACAATTCCGGTGTCTAATTTTGCCACTGAAGATGTTTAAAATATTTACCTGTGTTTTTCTTCTCCCTACATCTTTCCCTCCCTGTCTCCAGGTGACAACACCTGAGGTGATGATGCCCAGCAGCATGTTCCTTCCGGCCGCCGCTCCAGAGAAGGATGGGAACTCCACCGCAGAGGAGCTGGGGAAGCAGCCTGGTGAGTGTGGGTCAACGAGTTCCACGGGTCCCACCAGTCGCCCCACCTCCCACCACCTGGTCAGGGACTGTCTGGGGACATCTCCATCCGGGTGAGCTCCCTGTGCCCAACTGTCTCCTGAGAACCACAGTCGGACGGTGCCCAGCAGAGCTGTCTCCCTTCATCTGTGCCCCAAACAGGCCGGTGGCCTGGTGTCCCCGTGGCAGGGCAGAGCAGGGTGGCTCAGAGCCAAGGAGCACAGCTCACCACTGTGGCGATTCACATGGAAATGGTGTTGAATCCTTGCAAAGGATAAGACCAGATGTGAGCGGTGAAAAGCAGAGGTGGAGAGGGCTGAAGGGATTGGTAGACGCCAAAGGTTGCGGCCACAGAGTGTGCAACCACCTCTGCTGTACTTGCTCTGCTGCTATCGTAGATCAAGTACATATGCTGGGCACACAGTTTGGGGAACTTTGAGCAGTCCTTATCCAGCCTAAATCTCCTCCGCCTTTTTCATTGCAATGCTGTGTTATGAAGGCATGGCTGTAAGTCAATGGCTGTTTAGTCCTGGCTTTGTACTGTGATGTGACAGCATCCCAAGACCATCATTCTGCGTGGGCAAAAGTGTCTGATCTCAAACCTGTCAGGGAAGTAATGCCAGTCTTCCTTCTGTGCCCTCTCGGAGAGTCTGTAAGGAATCTGGGAATGAAGACAGCCCTCCGGACGGCCCCAGGGCAGTGATGCTGGTGGGGCAGCACTGGCACAGCCAGGGTAGCTAATGCTGCCTGGGGCAATGGATCCCTCTTTTGGCCTCTACCCATATCACGCTGTCTTTTCCAGAAGGACTCTGCTCTTAGACCCTGGAAAAGTGGCAGTGCCCTGAGTGCTTGTTCCTTCTTCTCCCATCCCCCCTCAAACAACACCCCTTGAACTGCTGCCAGCAGGGCCTGAACTTCAATCCTGTTGTTTCTAGCTTTGATAGGACCAAGGCTCAAATACTACTTTCAGTCTTATTGGAAAATAGGCAGGACATCAAAGAAAAACAGCAAAGACAGATGGGTGGCTGAATGGCCTTCACTTAAAAGGAAGAATTAAAAGTGATAAATGCACTAAGGGAACATGTATGTGTGTGAATAATTTCCAGATATTCGAAGTGGGCAAGAAAGTAAATTGTGTAAGTTTATGCAATGGGCCATGGTGAGGGTAATGGGCTGATATTAAAATAAATGAATGAAGATAAAGGAGAAATGTTAGAAATACCTATCGTCTTGCAGAGAAAAAAACACATAATAGGGACAAAAAAGGATGTTGATCAGCTGTTGTGTGCTGGTGTAACTTTCAGGTTTGCTCTGATTTTGTTTTCACAGAGATCTCTGAGGACCCAGGAAAGAGTCTTTTGCCATCAGAAAGTGTAGAGCACAGCGGAGACCCCAAGCCCGTTCCGTCTGATCAGAGCTCTGCCAGGGAGGACTCCGGCTTCCTCTGCTGGAAGAAGGGCTGCAACCAGGTGTTCAAAAGCTCGGCAGCCCTGCAGACACACTTTAATGAAGTTCACGCAAAGCGACCTCAACTGCCGGTGTCTGATCGCCATGTCTACAAGTACCGTTGTAACCAGTGCAGCCTGGCATTCAAAACCATTGAGAAGCTGCAGCTCCATTCCCAGTACCACGTCATCCGGGCAGCCACCATGTGCTGCCTCTGCCAACGCAGCTTTCGAACCTTCCAGGCCCTGAAGAAGCACCTGGAAACCAGCCATCTGGAGCTGAGCGAGGCCGACATCCAGCAGCTGTATGGTGGTCTCTTGGTCAATGGGGACCTCCTCGCTATGGGCGATCCTTCGCTTGCAGAAGACCACACTATAATAGTCGAGGAAGATAAGGAGGAGGAGAGCGATTTGGAAGATAAGCAGAGCCCGACAGGTAGCGATTCGGGTTCAGTGCAAGAGGACTCTGGCTCAGAACCAAAAAGGGCCTTACCCTTCAGGAAGGGCCCTAACTTCACTATGGAGAAATTCCTAGATCCATCTCGCCCTTACAAGTGCACAGTCTGCAAGGAGTCTTTCACGCAAAAGAACATTCTCCTGGTCCATTACAATTCAGTTTCTCATCTGCATAAACTGAAAAGAGCCCTCCAGGAGTCTGCTACTGGGCAGCCCGAACCTACCAGCAGCCCAGACAACAAACCTTTTAAGTGTAACACCTGCAACGTGGCCTACAGTCAGAGCTCAACCCTGGAGATCCACATGAGGTCTGTCCTGCACCAAACCAAGGCTCGCGCTGCCAAGCTGGAGGCGGCGGGGGGCAGCGGCAGTAGTAACGGAGCTGGCAACAGCAGTAGCAGCAGTCTGTCTTTGGGTTCATCCACGCCAAGTCCAGTGAGCGCTAGCAACAGTAATACTTTTACAACCACCAACACAAGCAATTCGGGCACCACTCCCATTCCCAGCCTCCTCAACCAGGTATCCAGTGACAATGTGGGAATTCCTCCTTTAGGTAACCCCGTAAGCACTAATATCTCCTCCCCTTCGGAGCCCAAAGAGGTAAACCGAAAGAAGCTGGCAGACATGATTGCATCCAGGCAGCAGCAGCAACAGCAGCAGCAGCAGCAGCAGCAGCAGCAGCAGCAGCAGCAAGCTCAAACCTTGGCACAGGCACAGGCCCAAGTCCAGGCCCATCTGCAACAAGAACTGCAGCAGCAAGCTGCTCTCCTGCAGTCTCAGCTGTTCAACCCAGCACTTTTGCCGCACTTTCCGATGACCACTGAGACCCTTCTGCAGCTTCAGCAACAGCAGCATCTTTTGTTTCCTTTCTACATCCCCAGTGCCGAGTTCCAGCTCAATCCAGAAGTTAGTTTGCCTGTCACCAGTGGTGCGCTGACGTTGACTGGTACAGGTCCAAGTTTGCTGGAGGACCTGAAGGCTCAAGTTCAGCTCCCTCAACAGAGCCATCCACAGCTCTTACAGCAGCAGCAAGGTCAGCTGTCCTTGTCACAACCTCACTCCGTCCTTATACAGCAGAGCCAGCACCCTGAAAAGAAGAATAAATCCGTAGTGAAGGAGAAAGAAAAGGAAACCCCAAGGGAAAGGGACAGTGCGGAGAGGGGAGACAATAATGTAGCGTCTAAGGAGTCTCTGCCTGATAACTTAAAGCCCAAAGAGAAGAAGGACTTTGTACCAGGCAGTAGTTCGGAGCCCTCCTTACTGCCTCCGCGTATTGCCTCTGATGCAAGAGGGAACGCCACAAAAGCCTTGCTGGAAAACTTTGGCTTTGAGCTTGTCATTCAGTATAACGAGAACAAGCAGAAGGTGCAGAAGAAAAACGGGAAGACAGAGCAAGGTGAGAACTTGGAAAAGCTTGAGTGTGACACATGCGGCAAGTTCTTTTCAAACATCCTCATCCTGAAGAGCCACCAAGAGCATGTTCACCAACATTACTTTCCCTTTAAGCAGTTAGAGAGATTTGCCAAACAATACAGAGAACACTATGACAAACTGTACCCGCTACGGCCTCAGACCCCAGAGCCACCGCCACCACCTCCACCGCCCCCACCTCCGCTCCCTCCAGCACCTCCTCAGCCGGCTTCTACTCCTACCATTCCTACTTCTGCCGCACCAATTACCTCTCCTACAATTGCACCAGCCCAGCCATCTGTGCCACTCACCCAGCTCTCCATGCCAATGGAGCTCCCCATCTTTTCACCACTTATGATGCAAACCATGCCACTACAAACGTTACCTGCTCAGCTGCCACCCCAGCTGGGTCCCGTAGACCCTCTGCCTGCCGACTTGGCCCAGTTGTACCAGCATCAGCTCAACCCTAGCCTTCTCCAGCAGCAGCAGAACAAGAGGCCACGGACGCGAATCACTGACGACCAACTCAGAGTCCTTCGGCAGTATTTTGATATTAACAATTCCCCAAGTGAAGAACAGATCAAAGAGATGGCGGACAAATCTGGATTGCCCCAGAAAGTGATCAAGCACTGGTTCAGAAACACTCTCTTCAAAGAACGCCAGCGCAACAAGGATTCCCCATACAACTTCAGTAATCCTCCCATTACCAGCCTAGAAGAACTGAAGATAGACTCACGGCCTCCTTCTCCAGAACCTCAAAAGCAGGAGTACTGGGGAAGCAAGCGGTCCTCCCGGACACGCTTTACTGACTACCAACTCAGAGTCCTGCAGGACTTCTTTGATGCCAATGCTTATCCAAAGGATGATGAATTTGAGCAGCTTTCTAACTTGCTGAACCTCCCAACGCGTGTTATAGTGGTGTGGTTCCAGAATGCCCGTCAAAAAGCTAGGAAAAACTATGAGAATCAGGGAGAAGGCAAAGACGGGGAACGACGAGAGCTTACAAATGACAGGTATATTAGAACAAGCAACTTGAACTATCAATGCAAAAAGTGCAGTCTAGTCTTTCAGCGCATTTTTGATCTCATTAAACACCAGAAAAAGCTTTGTTACAAAGATGAGGATGAGGATGGACAGGATGATAGCCAGAATGAAGACTCTATGGATGCAATGGAGCTCTTGACTCCAACCAGTTCCTCCTGCAGCACACCAATGCCCTCGCAAGCTTACAGCACACCTACGTCTTCAGCCAATGCAACCTCCTCAGCTTTTCTGCAGCTCACAGCAGAGGCAGATGATTCCTCCACCTATAGTTCTAAAGTAGAAGCTACAGATGAGAAACCAAAGCAGCCTGAACCTCCAAGTACACAGCAAAACCAAACTCAAGAGAAGCAAGTGCAACCAAAGCAAGAGTGTCAGCAGCAACAGGACCAAGGAGAACAAAAGACAAGTTCAGCACACCAAAAGATTTCACAGTTATCCTCCCCCTCTTCATTGCAACAGCCGCCTCCCCCTCCTCAGCCCCCTCAGTGCTCCTTGTCACAGTCAAGCCCAAGTCCATCTCAGCTCTCACATCTCTCCCTCAAACCCATTCACACATCCACCCCTCAACAGCTGGCAAACCTACCTCCTCAGCTAATCCCATACCAGTGTGACCAGTGTAAGCTGGCATTTCCTTCCTTTGAGCATTGGCAGGAGCATCAGCAGCTTCATTTTCTGAGTGCACAGAACCAGTTCATCCACCCCCCATTCCTGGACAGAACACTGGATATGCCGTTCATGCTTTTTGATCCCAGTAATCCACTACTTGCGAGCCAGCTGCTATCTGGTACATTACCACAGATTCCAGCAAGTTCAGCCACTTCACCGTCGACTCCAACATCCACAATGAACACACTGAAGAGAAAGCTGGAGGAAAAGGCCAGTGCAAGCCCTGGGGAAAATGACAGTGGGACGGGAGGAGAAGAACCACAAAGGGATAAACGTCTAAGGACAACCATTACCCCAGAGCAGCTAGAAATTCTTTATCAGAAGTACTTGCTTGACTCCAACCCAACACGGAAAATGTTGGACCACATTGCACATGAAGTGGGCTTGAAGAAACGCGTGGTGCAAGTCTGGTTTCAGAACACCCGTGCACGGGAAAGGAAGGGGCAGTTCAGAGCTGTAGGGCCTGCCCAAGCCCATAGACGGTGTCCCTTCTGCCGAGCTCTCTTTAAAGCAAAGACAGCTCTTGAAGCTCATATCCGATCCCGTCACTGGCATGAGGCCAAGAGAGCTGGATACAACTTGACGTTGTCTGCTATGCTCTTAGATTGTGATGGGGGACTCCAAATGAAGGGAGACATCTTTGATGGAGCAGGCTTTTCCCACATGCCACCAACTAGCAGTGATGGACAGAGTGTTCCTCTCTCCCCAGTGAACAAGAGCATGGAACTGTCACCTCGAACTCTCCTGAGTCCATCCTCCATTAAGGTGGAAGGGATAGAAGACTTCGAGAGTCCCTCCATGTCCTCGGTCAATCTGAGCTTTGACCAAACAAAGCTGGACAACGATGACTGCTCTTCTGTCAACACTGCAATCACAGACACTACAACAGGAGATGAAGGGAATGCAGACAACGATAGTGCAACAGGGATTGCAACTGAAACCAAATCAGCATCGGGACCCAGTGAAGGTCTGACAAAAGCTGCCATGATAGCAATGTCTGAATATGAAGATCGGCTGTCTTCTGGCCTGGTCAGCCCAGCTCCCAGCTTTTACAGCAAAGAGTACGATAATGAAGGTACTGTGGACTATAGCGAAACATCCAGCCTTGCAGACCCCTGCTCACCCAGCCCTGGTGCAAGTGGTTCAGCCAGCAAGTCTGGAGAGAGCGGGGATCGGCCTGGACAGAAACGCTTTCGCACTCAGATGACTAATCTCCAGCTAAAAGTTCTTAAGTCATGCTTTAATGACTACAGGACACCTACCATGCTGGAGTGTGAGGTCCTGGGCAATGACATTGGACTGCCAAAGAGAGTTGTTCAGGTCTGGTTCCAGAATGCTAGGGCAAAGGAGAAGAAGTCCAAACTCAGCATGGCCAAGCATTTTGGTATAAACCAAACAAGTTACGAGGGACCCAAAACAGAGTGCACTTTGTGTGGCATCAAGTACAGCGCTCGACTGTCTGTACGTGACCATATCTTCTCTCAACAGCATATCTCCAAAGTTAAAGAAACCATTGGAAGCCAGTTGGATAAGGAAAAGGAGTATTTTGACCCAGCTACTGTACGTCAGTTGATGGCTCAGCAGGAGCTGGACCGGATCAAAAAAGCCAATGAGGTTCTTGGTCTGGCAGCTCAACAGCAGGGCATGTTCGATAACACCCCTCTGCAAGCTCTTAACCTTCCTGCTGCATACCCAGCACTACAGGGCATCCCTCCAGTCTTGCTCCCAGGCCTCAACAGCCCGTCCTTACCAGGCTTCACTCCATCCAACACAGGTGGGTATGGATATTGTCACACTGCTCAGAGACACAGCTTAACTTAATGCATCTTTCACACAAGCAGGTGTTCCCTTGAGTATGACTGAGAATGGAAAACCGGGCCCTTTACTCAAGCATGTTTACTTGACAACAAATAAGCAATAGGTATTTTATCTTTAATTCCTGAGCTCGGGTTTTCTAGCAAAGTCTGAAATAGAGCAAGATCTAGACATGATGTGTTTCTGTGTTTCAAAAATTCTGAAGCATGTTCAAGGAAATGAAAAACAGAGGGTTTATCAAATAGAACAGCAAAAGGACTAATGTGCTGAATGCATTGTTAATAATACCTTTCCTTTTGTTTTTAAATTCAGTTTATGTAGTGCCATCCCAAGTTTTCAATAATTCTGAACTGTTTCTAGGGAAAAGTGTGATGTGCTTGGTATCACTGGTGACAGAAACCTGGAGCATCTTCATGTAACGTCCTCATGGTAGCCTCCAGGGCAAATCCCGGTGCAGCTGTGGATTGCTTTTTGAGCAACAGCTGGGCACGACCTGAAAGTACCTTCTCAACAGACAACAGTGTAGTCGTGGGACAAATCTACTTTGTATTTTAATAAGATTTTTCTTAACAATACTACATAAAAATGAAATTTGGCATAATCCTTTGGGTGGCCCAATCCCAGACATTGGACTTTGTTTTTTGAGGATACGCCTTTCCGTTGTACCCGGTGGACAGGTGGAAAGTATAAGACGTGTAGCAAACACTGGCAGTGGAAGATACTGCTCAGTAGACTAGCAGTGACCTAGAAAACTTGATCCAAGGGCCTTATTTCACCCCCGCCACATCCCTGGCATCCCAGAGACATGCCTGTGTCTGAATTGCCGCTCATGACAGAGTAATTGATGTTCTCTAGGAGACCTGCTTTCACTTGGCAGACTTCTCTGTTTACTTCTGACGATCTCCCTTCAAGTTGACTTTCACCAGGGCTGCTCTACGTTTACAGAGATATCCCGAGAACTGACTCCGGTGTCTTGTCTTGGCAACAGGCTGAGTCTGTCTCAGGCTGGAAATCCCGTGACACCGTAACGCCTGGTACGGTTACCACCGTGTGCTGCTGTGCACTGTTGTTTTCTACGCTGTGGCAATACAGGTCTACCGCTATTAGACAGTGTCCAGAAATGATAACTTTCTCTTATTGTACTGAACTAATTGACTGATGATGAGTTATACTCCACAGTGTGAAGCCTAAATAGGATCTGGGCATCTTACTGGCTTCTTAATCAGAAATCTGAGTGCTATCAGTCTCCAAAAAGACTTTCTGATGCTTTTATTCAGCAGGCTGGCTCTGAAGTTTCTTTTTCAACAGATTGAAAAAGTCAGTGCAGATGCTGCCAAGCAACATGGTTGTGTCATGTTAATAAAATTGCCATCTTCTTTTGTCATCCAGGAGGTAAATCTTTGGATAAGCAAATCAAAGCCTTAGACGGAAGGATAGTAGCTGGTGTGAGCAGCCACTTGGAACTTGAACAGCCCTTCTGACATTGGCAGGGAGACTGGCTGCAGAGCTGCTCGCTGTGAATCACATCACTAGCGCCTCAAGTTCGTGTGTGGTTGCAGTGACATTGGGTATAACACCCTAAGGAGAGCACTAGAGACCCCTGACTCAAAACAGGCATCTTTCTCTTCCCCTCGGAAGCAGCTGTGTTCACCTTTTTCTCCATTACTGCTCATTTCAGAAATAATGTTCTGTTGACAAATGAAAAAGAGTTAAATCTCACTGTATTTGTTGGGTTCTGGCCTTCCCAAAGACGATCCACTCTCTTGGAGTCAAGATCCCTTTTTCCAGCAAAGCAGCAGAGGGGATTACCTTGTAGCATGGTCCGTGTCAGAGGGTCCTATCAGAGCACAGGAAAGGTGAGAGTAAGTTTTCTGGAATCTGGAAAAGCTTTTTGCTGGGAGTTAGGGCCGCTGCAACGCTTTTTTGCATAGTTACAGCACCCTTCCCACGACCCCCAAAGTGAAAGTAAAATCGTTCTTGACTGTAGTTGTAGGGTAGGTTGTTGTAATTAAACTGTTTTTAAAAACAGTTGCTGTTAGAAATTGTTCTGTTCAGGGCTGCCGTCCATTCCTGCTCCTTTAATCTAGTCCTAGCTTCATGCCTGAAGGGCATCTTTGCATGCCAGGACTTTTTCATGCGATACTTCTGTTCTTACCAAAGATCTCATTTCAGAGGCCAGAACTAGGCCAATAGGATCTCTTGGGGAAATTATCTTGCCAGCCTATCGCAGATAGCTCTGTGCTGTTTACTTAGTACCCCAAATTTATAACAAGATCTAAAATTACTTTTTTGCACTTCAATCTGTATTGTTGCTTTTATTTTTCTCAAGACACCGGTATGTGTCCTGGGGAGATGGGGCTACATACTATGAATGTTAAAAGCAATCAGTGACTGCCTAGACAGGACTAAGCTATTTAGAAAGTCAAACAGACTATTTGTGGCCTTTAGATAAAGCTCCAAAGGTCAGGCCATCTCAGCTCAAAGCCTGTCGAAGCAGATAAGGCTGTGCATCCAGGAATGTTATGAATTAGCTGCTGCTCCTATGCTTGAACCTCTCAGGGACTGTTCAACTAGGGACCATCAGTTTCAATAGCATCTATCCGTAATATGCCCTTATCTGAAATCTGTAAGGCTGCTGCGTGGAGGCTCACTTCATACACTTCATACCTTCACAAATCACTATTGTCTCGATACCGCATCAGGAGCAGATGCAGGTTCCAGAAGGGCTTTGCATCAGCCATCGCTGAATTCTCCCGGCTCTTGGCCGCCCTCCTCCCAGCCCCCCCGGCGCTGCCTCTTCCCCAGGCTCGGGGCCTCCGCAGAGCCACGGCGGCTCGGCCTCCTGCCCTTTGCTCGGGAGGGCAGCGCCGGGTGCAGGTCTCTGGCGTCAGTGGACGAATGCAGCGCTGTAGACAAATGAGCTGTTTATACCCAGGTGTAGTGCAGCCAGGTTTTGGAGAGTGCTTTGCTCCCCTTAGCTGCCAGCTGCTGCTGGGAGCACGATGCTGTAAGAAAGCGGTCCCTGTGTATGTTGAGAAGTACGGATTCCTTCTGGGCTACACCAACTTTACAGGGCATGGTTAAGTGACGGGCTCTTGCGATGCAGCTGTGCAGGCAGCCATCTGGGGCTTGGTGTCCAGAAGCCTGAGGAGCACGTGTGTCTTTGCACAGACTTTACACCTTGTGCTCCCTCCATCAGCCTCTGCTCCAGGTCCTGCCGTCTGCTCTGGCCAAGGACCTGGGCATCGGGCTGCCTGCTCGTGGCAGGGATGAGACGGTTGAGTCTGCCTACACTTGTTCCTCAGGATCGATTATGATGATCGAAGACCTCACCAGGATAAATGGGACAGCGGCAGCTCAGACAGAGCTGTTGGCCCCGGACCCTGGCTGTGTTTGAGTTCTTTTCGCTCTTTCGCCTTTGCAAGGCAATGGAGCCCCGGGGCAGCTGGATTTCCCTGCCAGGAACCACTGCCTGCCCGGTGCACAGCGATTGCCCTGCTGGCATGCTTCCCCTTGGAAAAGGCTTTAAGCTGCCACCATGCCCCAGGTCATCCCCAACAGGAGCGTTTCTCCTCTCCTCCCACTGGATGTATCACAGAAGAGGTACACCCTAAAACAGAAGTTACTGTGCCTCCATGGCTGATTCCTAGTTGTCCGACTGTTCATACTCAGACTGCCTCTGAGCACTTACCGTCACAGCTGTAAGGACTCTGCCTTTTTTAATGAAAGGCTGGATTTTGTTGAATGGTTTTGCAGCAAGGGTGGATCCCGCAGCAGGTTCCCGGCTCCGGGGCCATGGAGCGTACAGGGCTGCACCGGCAGAACGTTAGAGTTTTGTTTTATTTTTTTTTCCCAAATGGCATTGAGGGACTTCCCAAGCAGAACGTTCCTGTTTAGGAGCACATTTGCCAACTGCAGCGGACGTGACTAACGGATGTGACTCTGGGAGCCACGCTCCTCTTGCCCCCAACTGCTGTCAGCTGTGAGAGTAGAAATCGGCACTGGGGGGCTGTGTTGTTGTGTTGTTACTGGGTATTCCTGCGGTTGGGAAGATGGGCAGATTTCACATGCCACCATTAATGCATCCTCTTTGTGAGGAAGCATCACGACGCTTTTAGTTCCACCCAAAACACGTGCCTGGGGGCATGTCTGAATACCGCATAAACTCTGAAATTACTCAGAAGCTGTGCACCCAAAGCCTCTTGCATTGGAAGGAGGGAAGGAAGGAAGGGGTTGCATCAGAAGTTTGTGGATTTGTGAACATCAGCCTCATTAAGACAAAATAACTTAGGTTTAGCCTGTTCAGTCCTCTCCAGTTGCCATGAGCAGGGCTTTCTAAACTGTGGAGATCTTAACAAGATCGACAGTATCCAGCGTTATGGCCGTTTGGCATAGCACATCCCTTCTACGAAAGGACCAGTTAGTGCAGATGTAGAAGTGCCTGTCCCTGACATCAGCAGTTAATCATTGGGGAATTTCAGAGGGGTCAGTAAAGCAGC